TATCTGGCAGCTTTTCCAGACGTCATTTTTATGATTACATTTCCCAACAAAAAAACAGCTTCAACAAAACTATGTCTCAAAGATAAACCAAACATGCCCTGTTGACGTGAGAGAGAAAGTGGCCAAAGAACCCTCCATTAAACTCAGTGGTGCTGCTCTGTGAGATGCTAGTTCAGATACTGGCATTATCTTGGGGTGCAACAGGTCCATCAATGTTTGGGCTCAGTGCTCTGAGCTGAGGAGACCCTCAGCGATGGAGTGAGGTGTGCGTGCAATATACCGACGGGCCAGATCTAATAGGGAATTATAAGATTATCCTGAAGGGCCGAGAATAAATCCACCAAGGGCCTGATTTGCCCTCGGGCCTTGAGTTTGACACAATGTGCAGCTACAGTGGACATCTGGCGCCGTTTTTTGTAAGAAATGTTCACTCCGATAGAGCCTCGCACGTGGAACTCCCGCGTGTGACGGTAACACGGGATCACAAGGGGGAGAGCGGCGGTGGTAACGTATTAAATAAAACATGGATCCCAATGCTAGTTTCGACAACAGAAGAGAGTTGAAACAATGAATCTATTCGAATGCATATGACCGCGACCACAACCTTATAAATTATGAGCCTGTTAGGCCGTCCAAGAGACCAGGAGCAGCCCAAGGGATGGATGTAGAAGAAATACACGGCCATCGGAGAGAAATTGAGCTGTGGTGTGAGGAGAACCAGTGGAGAACTGGGACAGCTATGCCTTGGTGAGGGACCGGCGCTTAGCTTCAGAATGGCTTAGCTAACGTCACATCACCAACATTGTAAAGTTAGCTATCATATATCAGTCTATAACTAAAGTAGCATTGATAAATGTAACGGTTTACTGGCAGGACTGTTGATACTGATCCATAAACAGAAAACTAATGCGCAAGTATCAGCCCGTTATCTCCCGTTACCTAAATGCAACTCTACACTACGGTGCGCTGCTGCACCGAGGAGAGAACGCGAGATACGGCTGATACTTGACGATCTGGCGGAGAAAGGCTTGTGACGATCTGGCGGAGAAAGGTTGTGGAGCCTCCGTTGATATGCCGTTGTAAATGGCTTGATGGAAAGCAGGTGTGTAGTCGGGGAGGGTGCACAGCTGATTGCAGCAGGTGAGTGGAGGTTGATCGCAATCGCATCTCCTGTGGGCGGGACTAAGTCTCGAGGATAGGAGTCGAGGAGGGGAGTCGAGGAAGGGAGTCGAGGAGGGGAGTTAGAGAAATGAGAAAGGGCCCCGGTGTTTACATTTCTGGTTGTTACAAGATGTGTGAAAAAGGATCTGTGATTAACACAAGCATGAGGGATTTACACATTTTATTCTACGATATAAAATACAGATTTACGTTAATACCCCACTTGTGATTGTCCGAAGTTTCTATGTGTCATAAAAACAGCCGTTTGACATTGATGTAGTTTGTTTTTAGCTTAGCATTAGCTTTTTACTTCTGGGATTTATGCTTTAAGAATAAAAAAGGGGTATTAATATGTGGAGATTATCCTGCTGAACAAAAAAAGTAAGTATCATAAATGTGTGTTTGGTTTTATTTTCTGCAAAAATCAAAGAACCCAATGGTAAAAATTCCAAATGTTTTTTGTTCAGGGACCTTTGGTGTTTCTAACTTCCGGGTCAGCCTATAAAAATATGTCAAAAACAAGTAGTTGAATAGTTGAATCCTTACATATTGACAACGAGTGTCCATAATAACGTTTCATTTATTCCATGTCAAATGTATACAGTATACGTATAATGTATTGGTGGAAGTGAATTAGTAAGGTTTCAGCTGATCATATGGCACCGGGAGAAAATGGGTTGCTCTAGGAATCTTGGATGTAGGAAAGATATATAAGTTATTTGTTACATGTCAAGCTGCAGTACACAAGGTGTGTCCTAACCATCTTGTGAATGTTTGTGGTTCTCACTGTTGTTGATCAGAGGGTGAGCTGCAGGCCTGGGTGGTGTCCATCAGCTGACCTCTGATCCTTTGTCCTGCTGGACTGGACAAAACATCCGACTCACTGTAGCCAGGGAACAGGTTCATAAGCATAGGAGGCACCTGCAAAAACCCACAGACAGACACACAATTTATTGCTTTTAGTCCCACGTTTTATGAATACATATTAATGGAGTGCTGCAGGGATTAATCCTTTAACCCGGAAAAGAGTAGGCATTTTACCACATCCAGTTCCCTTGTTAAAAGTCAACAGTTTTTTTGTGCGTGTCTGGTAGATATAGATACTGTAGATATGGTTTTAGATACAAATTGATCTTCACGTTTTGTTTTAGAGCATAACAGCAAATACCCTACTTATAAATGTCTGAAGCTTCTATGTTTCTTATAAAGAGCAGTTGCTCAAAAGTGAGTAAATTAAACGACTTGGCGCCATCACGCTGAACATTAGCCGCCTTTAGCTTAACAGTGGTGAAGTGAGGTGGGTCAGGTGACTGTGATGTTTTAACTTCATAGCCTTCGGTTAGCTTTTCTACATCTGGTGATTGTATTTAAGCTTCAAAAACCCTAAAAGTGGTGTTAATATGTGGAGGATATCCTGCTGAATGAAACGTTTAAGTATCATTGATGTTTATGTCCATCCACAGATCTCATTTTCTGCAATAGTCCAATTACTTTTTCCGTTGTGTGTTTTCTAAATGCTGCACATGTTTTGACAATTTGGTAAAAAAAAAAGATTCATTTGCATCATTTTTGAAACTGCAGCGCGTTTCTCCAAATCGAAGTGTTGTGGGCCACCATACTAAAGTGGTAAATATGACTATATTTATTTTATGGTGGATACAATACTAAGCTGTTTAAATATGAATGTATTTTTATGCTATTATCATCACTCTTACATGTTATTTAGCTGACAGTTTTATCCAAAGCGACTCACCTACAGTTCAACACCCTACGGATGCCTCCAGGAGCAAATGGGGTTTTTCTGTTGCCCTAGGACACTTTGATTGTTGACTGCAGGGGCGGGGTATCGAACCACTGACCCTCTGATTGTGACTCAGTGGATAAATAAATATAAACATTTTTTGTAAATAGGCCGGTTTTCCTGACAAAAAAAGGTTTGATGTATGAACTATAATGTGTATTTCAAACATATGTAAAGGGGACTTTTTATGCTCATTTACAGGTTCATATTTGTATTTAGTGCCTCTACTGTGACATGTTTCAATGCTTTAATGTTCAAAGAAGTACATTTTTTAGGTTTATTTTTCTCATGCCTGTGCTGCAGCACCTCTTTCACCCTCTGTCTGAAACCAGAGCCCAGATTCGCCATTTTTCTTGCTTTAATCCTGTTGTAATCAGATTCAACCCAACTGCTCTTTAGATGAAAATTGCTTGTATAACTAACCCTTAATACAAATGCATTTAAACTTGGTAGTTACACTTTTTGTCAATACAAAATGTTTTATTAAGACTCACTTCTAGCAGTTTCAACATCTTTTTTTAAGACTAGAGCTTTTAATGAGACACTTGAGCTTGCTTGTCTTTGATATGTTTAGTTAGTTCAGGGGCAGGAAACCAGGCTGATAAAAATTGATTTAAAATGTTTTTTGTGTGGGGAAAAAACCCTCAAGTACCCATAGGGGTCCCCATACCCCGGGTTTTGGACTGCTTTAGTAGACCAGCGAAGAAAAATATAACTTATGTGAGGGAATCTGCTGGAGGAAGTTCTGACCTCCTCGTTGCTGGGATCCAGGATCAGCATGCAGACAAAGTCCTCTCTGGCTCCCTTCAAGTTAATAAGCTTTCGGGAAGCTTTGGATCTGCTTTCATAGTAATGACCTGCAGTGGGGTTGTCCTGGATGGCCAGAGAAAACATCTCAACTGCCTCTTGGTAACACCTGAAAATGCAGACACTCACAAATAAAACATCGAAACGAGATTTGATTAATTTTCATCATGTGTGGTAAATATTTGTTCTCCTGACCCGTTCTGGAAGCAGAAAGAGCCCAGGGTGTTGTGGAGGACAGCAAGGCGCAGCCGGACAGCAGGGTCATTGGGCCCCATCATATCCTCAGCCTGCTGGTAGTCAGCCAGAGCAAAACACCAGTCACCCTGCTTAAAGAAACAATCTGACACACACATGCACATTCATATTCAAAAATGAAAGGGAACTTACAAGCGATATAAATATTAGGTTAACACTATTCTGCAATTGAATAGGTCAGGTGTGCCAAAAACCGTCTGATTTGAATCAATTGATTCTTGTTTTCAGAACAGCTGCTTCTGATGATCTCTATCTAATCTGCACTAGAGTATGAAGAATATATTACATTAACACTGCTGAAGGTCCATTCAGCAAGCAGGTAAAGATTCAAGAGGTCCTATTGTGCATTTTCCCTTTCCTGTAGTGTGTTTTCTTTGTATTAGTTGGCCAATCACTACAGAGTCAGCCTGCTATCCAATCAGAGCAGACTGGGCTCTGGTTTCAGACAGAGGGTGAAAAGAGGTGCTGCAGCACAGGCAGTATGAGAAAAATGTGACATGTTTACATGCTTTTTTAAACATTCAAGCATGGAAACATGTCACAGTAGAGGCACAAAATACAATATACACCTGAAAATGAGCAGAATAGGGCACCTTTACATATATCTGAAATATACATTATAGTACATACATAAAGCATTTTGTCAGGAAAACCGGCCTATTTGTAAAAAAAAACAACTTTGGGGCGACTGATAAACGCATATTTACCCTATGAGTCACAATCAGAGGGTCAAATTATTTTAAGTGAATGCATGTGTGTTTTATATCTAAATGCTCGGAGTAGTTTTGTGACATTTTGTATTTATTATGATTAAAAGAAGCTCTTTATGCTATACTTCTGAAACATTTCCTGTACCAAGAGTACACTTTATATGGTTTGTCACCATTTTCTTTTCTTAACTGAAGAAGTGTCACACTAGTTTTTATGGCCAAAATGTTCAAGTTTAGCTTGAAAGGGACAATTGTGTTAATTATTAGAAGTGATCGGATTCACTGAAATTACAATGGTTCACCAATTATTAGAATTATTTGTGGCTTTTAAACCTCACAGTTTACCCTGACCCTCACAGAAGTTCCAACATAAGAAATAGGGACAGATATACACACACACACAAACACACACTCAAAGAACAAGTGCCCAGAGCCTCACCTCCTCGGTTCAGGTAGAGGCCCGCCTGGCCCTTCTCCTCCTCAATGGCCTTGTTGAGAAGCAGCGTGGCCTCGGCGAAGAGGCCTCTGCTGAAGCACTCAACAGCAAAGTCATTGTAGGTCAGAACCAGCTGAAACTGCACCTCCTCCTCCACAGAGCCACGTTCATCCTTTCTCTCTGCATCCTCTGCCTCACCCCCGACCTCCTCCTCCTCCTTGCACAGCTCCACAGCCTGGACCAGATCCTCGAGGGATGCTGTGAAATCCTTCAGGCGGCGGTACACAATCCCTCTGATGGAAAAATAAACACACACATTTAAGTACATTTAATTGAAATGAATTTAATCAACTAAAACAGTATTAAATATAAAAGTCTAAGGGATTACATGTTTTAAAAGTTAGAATAAAATAACTGATTTAATTGAATGTAACCTCAACAAATGTTGATTAATAAATGTAACAATATTTATTTAAATCATATGGGTATTTAGCTATTAATTATTGAGGTAGTTACAAAATTATCTTTGGTGGTAATGAGTGGGGGTATATATTGGCTATAGCTATGGTCTTCGGTGATGCATTGAGTTCAGAGTTGCGTGTGTGATGACACAGCAGCGTGTGTACAGATTTCCCCACTCTTATTTCTTTATTGAAGCTTGTCACTGTCTCATGTTGTTCAGACTCACCTGAAAAGGTAGAGGTGTGCATCCTCTGGGCAGTTCTCCAAAGCGATATTGATCATGCAGCAGGCTTCAGGCAGATGGCCAGACAAAGATCTGTCTACTGCTTCTCGTCTGGCCTGTTCACTGGCCTCCTGCAGCTGCAGCAGCATGGAGCCAGCCGCTGGACTCTGAGGATCCAACGCTAGCACTGACTTCACATCTCTATAACATTGTGTTGTCTGGACAGAAAAGGAAATCCCAGAGAAATTTGATTTTGTGTTTAAAGTAGTAGCTGTATATCTAAGATGCTATACTAAATGTACCCAATATACGTTTCTTTAACCCCATCACTCTTTACAAAGTAATTCCCTCTACCTGAATATTTATAAACACTAATTTGCTATTATGATGTCAGTAAGATTTCTTTATTTACCGCTCTAACTTCTTTAGAAAGGCTTTGGACTTTTCTTCTGTTGCAGTTCTGCTGCCCCATATAAAAGGCAGATTAAGTGGTTTGGCACTAGAACATTTTAAAAAGTGATGTAAGCAGGGGTTGTGTAAAAACAAGTGTGTGTAGAGGCTAAACCAATGCTTTAAGCCACTGATGTGCCGCTTAAGGTATGTAAATGATGCACGCTTTAGCTCGTCAGGTGAATAAATGTCAGATTGTGTCCAGTTGAACACTTTTTCCATTTATTATCCAGTTTTGTTACCCGTTAAACTTGGATCAGTTTCCATCACCATAAAGAATGACACTTTAACACAATAACATCAGTAGCCAAGCTTTACCTTATCGTTGTGTGTATGTGTGTGTTGAAAACGAGTAAGCAAACATTCTTCCTTTTTTATCCTAAGCGCTAATTGGCTCCTACAAGTGGCATTTATTAACTAAAGGTTGAATAAATTAAACATGGGAATATCAATACAGCTAAATTAAACTGTTGGCAGAATCAGTCTGTTTCACAATTGTAAGTATTTTGTCAGTATATTTGAAATGACTAGGTTAGCTACGTAAGCTAGCTAGCTTATGGTGGATCTGCAATAATATCGGTTAGCACTTTCCTGGATTGAGCAGCTGAGCAACATCAGCAATAATAAATGTTTTAGGTGATTACCTCAGAATCAGTTTTGACTACCAGTCAATTTGTATTTTTTTCTTAATCCTGCAGCCCATCTGCCTGAGAAGTGAAACGTACCTGCTGTTATTTACGAACCTGCTTGAGTCGTTTGTGCAGTCGGGCTCTGAGGATGTAGAGGTCCGCGGTGGGACCCTCTGACAGCATCCAGCCGCTCACCAGCTTCAGACAGTCGCTGTGCTGACCTACAGCTGACAGGCAGGCCAGGCTGAGATTTAAGAACAGAAAAAACATGTACCATTAACATCTGAAGTCTTGCTTACTATTCATTATTGAGATGTTTGGTCACTCTTTTCTCATAGTAATGTCAGATATTCAATTTAAGGTTCAAAGGCTATATTGTGATATGCACAAAAGCTATAGCGCAGTTTTGGAAATGAAAATCTTAAGCCCCAGCTGCTGTAATTTAGATTTATATGTATATACAAAAATATATTCTGACCAGGCTTGAGGAGTAACGGATGACATGTTACTGGGTTACGTGATTAGGAAACAAAAAACTTAACTGTATTCCACAGTTACATAAATCAATAGGTAATCAAATTATGAATACATTTAAAAAATGGGGATTACTAAGAAGAATACAGTGTTACAATACATAATCAAATGAAGATGGAAGCACATGCGCTCTCATTACTTACTCAAATATTAAAATTAGCTGAATGTGCATAAAAGCAGCTAAAGGCTTGGCTTCACAATTCCATACTTACATAACACACTTAAATAAAAGCTGTCTTATTAATCATTATTTTATCTTGTAGTCATTTGCAGTGCATTGGATATTGGGGTTATCCAAAAGCAAATGAAAAGTAATCAAGTTACATTACTTTTTTATGGTGATTAGGTTCAATTGTATTTCACATGCTTTGTAATTGTAACAGAATACATTTTTGAATTAACCCTCCCAACCCTGTTTTTTACATATTATATACTTCACTATGCTTCTAAATATACCTCATGTAATATCCCAAATAAAAACATGATACAAACATTTTGAAAAACCTAAGCACACATGCACAACTTTATTCCAGGTCTTAGTACGCAGGTTGCTGACCTTCTGACCTGGTGGGCCCTGCAGCCGGGTTTCAGCTCAGCAGCTTTGCTAAAAGCCTCCAGAGCCTCCAGGAAAAGGCCTCGGTCAAACAAGCACTGGCCCTGAGGACAAAGAGAAACAGGAAGACCACCATTTAAAGAGGACCTATTACGCTTTTTGGGGTTTTCCCTTTCCTGTAGTGTGTTATATAGGTTTGTGTGGATGTAAATGTTCTGCAAAGGCTAAAATCCCAAAGTTTCTCTCCCGCACACTCCCCCCTGCCTGAAATGCCTCCATTGGACTCACTTGTTTAATACCTGAACATAGTGACATTACTATGTAACACGCGTTTCTATAGGCTAGCGCTCCAAGACATTGTACATGATTTGCTAAGGGGCAGGGACATCTCTGAACAGTTGACCAATCACAACAGAGCCGGCCAGCTAACTAATCAGAACAGACTGGGCTCTGGTTTCGGATAGACGGTGAAGAGAAGTGCTGCAGCACAGGCTGTATGAGAATAATAAAGAGCTTTTTGAACATTAAAACATGTAACTTAATTTGTTTTACTTGACTATATAAAAAATAACAATTTCTGAGTCCAAACTCACCTATTTCAAGCTTTGCATGATTTGTGATTTCCTTTTTAATTCAGCACAAACTCATCTGAGAAAATGTATTTTCTTTTGTTAACTACTCCGCTCAGTATTGTTCAATAAAATGAACTTGTAAATATAATACATGTATTTCGACCAAATAATGTAATTTATCATGTTAAAAGCACATAATCATCACATCTGACAGCTTGTACGCAACAGGTTATTCAATGTCACCATTGGATATCATTGTTATTGTTTTAGCATCACATAAATATGTTTTTATGTCTGTTGGTTTCATTTATTTTTGCATAAACTCTTCTGTGAAACACTCTCTTCTTTTGTTCAATTGTCTGCTCCTGATATATAATAGTCAATATAATGACCTGTTCTAATGTTACATTAATGGGTAATAATTGAAAAGGCATTTTTTCTTTGCACCGTATTTTAGTCTACATTGTGTCCATAAACAGATTGTACATTAATTGTGTTGTAGTTACCTGGAGATAAAAAATGAAGGCCAGGCGGTCCCTGAATGCACCGGGCTCCAGCAGAGAGGCCTGTTTATAACAGGCTGCTGCTGACTGGAAGTCACACAGCTGCAGGTAGGCCTCCGCCTGGCTCTCATGTAGCCGAGTCTAAAACACACAACACAAGGTTATTAGGTGGGAAAAAATCTAACGGTTTATCTGAAACATGAAACTAAATCACGCTTCTATTTGCTAGGGCTCCAACACATTGTACATGATAGGCTAAGGGGTAGGACATCTGAAAAGTATTTAGGTAACCAATCAGAACATACTGGGCTCTGGTTTCAGACAGAGGGTGAAAAGATGTGCTGCTGCACAGGCAGTATGAGAAAAATAAAGCGCTTTTTTGTTACATTAAAGCATTTCAACATGTCACAGAGTAGAGGCACACAATACAAATATGAAACCTGAAAATGTGCATAATAGGGCCCGTTTAATAAATATTATTAGTAGTAGGCTACTATTATTATAAACAGGGCTAAAACTACCTAAAAATGGTAACTTAATCTTTACAAAGTGTCACAACATACAGTACATTTTAACATAGAGCTTTGTGTCCTATGTTCATCACCTGTTCTGGCTGCAGTGTGATGGCTTTAGAAAAGCAGTTCACAGCCTTCTCAAACTGGGACTTTCCCATTGCCTCTTTTCCATTTATGTAACTGCAAAGAAAAACCTTATAAGCATAATTGAACCCTGAAAAGGCGCACGCTGGATGTTATGTTCCAGGATACATTGAAACACATAGCTGTCAGTGATGCTAAAGTAAAATTATTGTATTTACTTCTGAAAAATATGTTTTTAATGAGTGTTTCTCACTGCTCTGCGGCCTTGCTCTGGATGATGAGGCTCGCCTGTAGGTCTAGTCTTTGAGGCCGTTTCTCTCCTGGTTCCAGAAAGATTGCATTGGAGCCAAAACACTTCTTCAAGGAGCTTTTTCTCCTGGCTTCTTCCACCTTCTCAGCTGACAAAGCAGTGGGAAATAAACCTGGCTCCTCTGCATGCTGGGGACAATAAATACAAAAAATGATAATAATAATTTGTAGGGATGACAACCTACAAAACAATGAAGAATAGACTAACTGAATCAAAAAGTAAATATAAATATTTGTTGTATAAACAGTTCTGAACACTACTGACTGAGTAATATTTATGTTTCTTCCTACAAAGATGGACGACTTGCCGTTGATGACGTGACATTCCCATTCCCTATTGTCAGCAAAAGTGTAAAAATGTGTACTAATAGAGTTAAAACTTGCTTAATTCTGGTACTATTAAATGTCGTAAACTCCCACTTGATCGTTATTTGTGTTCAACATTTTCAATAAAACACAAATACTTTGCTAAAGTCAATAAAGTCTTTGATCAAACTATTTGACCAAACACGAAGATTACGCTAGTTGTACCTTCTGGCTAACTGCTTTTCAACAAACATTTGTTTACCGTCTTGTCCTTTATCTCCGCTAAAGTGTCCATTGTGTGTTTCAAATAGCTGATATAGGCTGTTTTACATTAGTTCCGTTTCTTTTGCTCTGTTTATTGAGTGTTTCATATAGCTGATATAGGCTGTTTTACATTAGTTCCGTTTCTTTTGCTCTGTTTATTTCCACCTGTCAATAAAGAGTTGCTGCGGATATGTTGAATCTGGTTGTCACTATGGAAACCTCCATACCACTCCGCGGTCTGGGAAAGGCTTTTATTTTCTAAACAAAGGGTACCAAGAAGAGAGCGAGCTTCCCTTTTCCGGACACTTCCGGTAAAGTTTCAAGACAGCTAATGCACGTATTATGGCCAATGACTGTATTATGCTAGTGTTGCGTCAAAAAGATGTATATTTCATGTTTATACTTGTTAACACAGATGTAGCAACGATATAACTTTACGTAGAGAAGACAATATTAACGTATAACGTTATGGCTTTACTTAGCAACTAAACGTTAACCTGTAACTAGCTTTAGCTGCCTCATTGAAAATAATGAATGCAAAATGGCTTTGAAAGTTTCACCTTTAGTTAGACAGTGTGGTTTTTCGAGGCTCTATAGTTCCTCACACTTTTTTACACACACTGTTACAAGACGCTCTTTTGGTTCTACACATAGTACACATAATAGACTGTATGGTTATACACAGAGACTTTTATTTTGAAAGCGGGAAACAGCCGGCACAAATGATGATCAGCTGACTGAACTGTTGACAAAGCAAGTTGGCTACCACCGGTGGAGGAAGCAAAAAACATTGCTGATCGTTTTGGCGACAAACTTTACTGAAATATCCTATGCATACTTCACGATGACCTGAGATATTGTATTAGGTGTCTGTTCGCTTGTGTGGCTGCACAACAATTTGTACACACAAGTAGACGATACTCTGGAAATAGTTTTCGCCTAACCTGTGATCCATGAAAAACGTGAACAAGAAGACCCCAATAGTAACATTACTGCCGTCAGTATGGACATCCAGAACGAGAGTAGAAGGCTGCTGGATGCGGAGGATGGAGATGAGGACCTTACTGGACTCATGTCTGAGCAAGATGCTTATCTGAGGTCAGTTAATACAACCAAACACAGTACCGAGCTGAGTGTAGTCTGTTTTATCAACACAAATATGGATTTTTAAAGTACCATTACAGAAGTCTTACATGTATCTGTATGTTAACCTCAAGGGGCATAGTTCACACCCTTTTAACTGTATGGCAATTCATGCTGGTGTATTACAAACAATTGAATGCGCTTCATAATTCAAAGGATCCATTTATTTTTTATTTAATACCTACAAATATAAAATGTTGACTAGTCTCTTGACAATAATGTGCCTATTAGTTGTTCCACTACCATTTGGACGTTATTATTGAAGAGGCTTCACCATGGACCAGTGATGTAATTTGTCAAGTTCTCATTCCTATCATGTGCTCCACAATTACAGCAAAGCAGTCGTTGGCAGTTACACTCTTGGGCCTTAGGGCAACAATACTCATTTAATATACTGTATGTAAAACAGAAAATCTGACAAGTAAAAGCAAAAACGGCTTTAAATAATAATGCAAGTTATATCCAGCTGGTTAGGATACTCTCAATGATGCGCCCGTAGAAGCATCCTGGAGTCTATGTTTAACCTCCTTAGCCTTTTGGAGGAAGAAGAGCCTCTTGTTCTCTTTGAGATGTTGTTTGCGTGGTGAGTTCTGGTTCACTTTAAGATTGTGGTACGACTGGGCGGTAGTCAATGAAGCAGAGGGCTTTTTGAAACAAGTCTGTAATCATCAGATCTAGGTGATTTGCTGGATTAAGCAGTTTGAAAGGTCTACACATTATGTCCTGTATGTTTCTATTGGGCTCCTGAGTCTTTTGTACTTGCTTAACTGGGGAGATTATGATCTGTGATGGTTCTTAGTCAAAAACATATTTCTGGTGTTGGGGCTCTGGTAGTTAGAAAGAGGTAAGCAATGTATTTTTCATTCTGTAATAATTTTCTTGATTAACAAACACACGTATTAATGTGAAGAGATGCCAGAATGCACTGCCTGTGGACTGAGCTACTGCCACCCAAGTCCTTTTAGCCTGCAACATGTCAGAAAACAAGTTATTCTTTTTGTTTGTCCATAATCAATCCAGCACTTAAAGGAATTGGTTAAAAATGTTGTTGAGAACATAAAAAAGCACAAATCTTCAGAGAAGCTGGGGTCAGACAATGTTAAAGAGCAACTTCCAGGTTAAAGACACCTGTGAATAAATGTGTAGGAAAAGGATGAATACACTAGATTTTCAAAAGAATATACAGAAATATACACTACAGCAGGGGGGTCAAACTCAAATAAACAGTGGGCCAAAATAAAAAAACGGTACTAGTGGAGGGCCGGACTGGTTCAATGTTTATTGCAGAACTTATTGAAATGAACTTATTGCACATATTAAACCTGGAACTAACAAAGCTTAAATGATTGCCTATAAAAACAACATTAAACATTAAATAATCAGTTGCATTCATTTCTTATGGCTCTATCTGCAGCTTTTCCAGAGTCATTTCTTATGATTACATTTTCCCACAGGCATTCGAGATAAGAAGTCGTAGTAATGAAGGGAATAGCCTCTACCTGCTGTCCTCAACGTGGGTACCACGAATCTTCAGAAGGTAGAATAGTAAGGACTAAAAAAATGTAATCTAAATTCCAATAGATTTATGGAGTTATCTGAGGGGAGGAGCGAGAGATTCT